CTGACTGCCTGGACAGGTGACAGTAGCAGGGTTCTGCAACAGAGTAATAGCCCTTGGAGCCAGGGCTTTGGTAAGAAGATTAAGCCAGTGTTTAATAAGATGTTTCATTCTGTGAAGTCACCTGCAGAGAAATCAAACATCTACATAAACCAGTGCTTTTGTTCTTAGCACATGGCCCACTCCAGCTGCTTTGGGCTGGATGAGCTCTGGGAATGCATCAAAACCTCCCTCCCCCGACCACCACCTATAGCAAGGTGGGCAGGAAAAAATTTACCAGCTTAGATTACCTTCCTCTTTCAAAGCCTGAAACTTCTTCAGGCATGTCATGTTCCTGTCAGGGTCTGAAAACTAACAGGCTTGAGACAGGCCAAAGGTTAAGTGGTCTCACCTAGAGGACGGCATGCATCTGGGTTGTGGATTTTTCAGGTGTTGCTCTGAGACTGAACTAAGAAAATTCTCAGGGAGCTTTGGTCCTCTTGATTTCTAATTTTTGTGATTGAGTTAGAGTCACAGAAATAGCATGAGTTGCTAATTTTTAAAAATAATTTTCTTTTCTTTGTATAAGTAATTCACACTGATTGTAGACATTTGGGAAAATATCAAAAGCCATAATGCTGAAAATTACTCGTAATTCTAGTATTCAGAGATAATCACTTACAAAACATTTTGTTGTTATTTGCATGCATTTTTATATGCATAATTAAGATCATTGTGTATAAATTTTGATTTCTACTTTTCCCACTTAACATATGAATATTTCCTCTTGCACTGAGAGCAGTACAGTGCAAGAGCTTGCATTGGTTTCCCATGGTGGCTGTAATAAATTTCCGCAAACTAAAAGGCTTAAAACAACAGAAATTTATTTTCTCACAGTTCTGAAAGGCCAGAAGTCTGAATAAAGGCAGAGGCAGGCCTGTGCTCCTTCTGGAGGCTCTGAGGGAGAATCTGTTCCTTGCCCCTCCCAGCTTCTTCTGGTGGCTGCTGGCATTCCTTGGCGCGTGGGCCCATCTCTCCAGTATCTGCCTCTGTTTCACATGCCTTTCTCATGTGTATGTGTATGCGCGCGCGCGTGTGTGTGTGTGTGTGTGTGTGTGTGTGTGTGTGAGAGTGAAATCTCCCTCTGCCTCTATAATGACGATACCTGTGGTGGCCTCTAGGATTCACCCAGGAGATCAAGGATATCTCTTCATCTTAACATTCTTATCTTAGTTACATCTGCTGAGCTCAGAGTTAGGGCCTGATATTTTTGTGGCTGTCATTCAGCCTAATACTGGGCTTTAGATCTTGGATTCTGGAGCCCAACTGGCTGAGCTCAAATCCCAGGGTGTCCCTTAGTAGCAGAAAGGCCGTGGCTGAGTGTCTTAACTCTTGGTGCTTCCATTTTCTGTTCCATAAAGTGGGGATAGTAACAATACCTACCTGTTTGAGTTGATATGAGGATTGAGCATGAATAACATATAAAGCACCTAATAAGCTTAGGGTAGTGCCTGGTCCATGTAAGGATTAGCTGTTGCTGTTATAGTTGTTATTTTAATTAAAAATTCTTCGTAAAATGTCATTTTAATGGCTGCATAAAACTTTATGAATCTACTGTAATTTATCTAATCATTTTCTTCTCTTGGCTATTAAGTTTATTTCCAGTTTTTTGTCTCATCGAGAGCACTGCAATGGATACATCTGAGTGTTCAGTTTTGTCCTCATTTCGATTATTCGCTAGGGAAGAGTTCTGAAGATGGAAGTACAATGTCAGAGGGGGTGTACACTTTTAAGGCACTTTTAAGGATTTGCCAAATTGCTTTCAGGAAAGATTGTGCCTCTTTTACTTCTGTCAGTAGCTGAATGATGGGAGTGCCCATTTTACTGTGGCTGTACCTATATCGAGGGTTACGATTTTAAACATTCTCAGGTGTTTAGACGTGGCCTTCCCTTTAAGGCTGAAATGTAACAGCAAAGAACTCAACATAAATGGTTCCTTTAGCAAGAGCTATTCATTACCAGGCAAGAAAACTTCTAATGAGAAATTAAATCCTTGCTTTGTTAAGTCTTCAAATATTTTCCTCATTCTGTTATGAAGCCCGGAAACTTCCTGAATGTTTTTGAGGGTTCAGAGAGGGGTGTTGAGGGAGAGGATACGTTAGTAGCAGGGCAGTACTGGGTACACAAGGATTTTAATTAGAAAGTTTTGTGTCTCTTTTCAAACTTGAACATTGAAAGCTCTGAGCATATTGTGGGATGAGGGAGGCACACTTGAACAGAAAACAGCTCAGTTTAATCACCTTACAACTAAAACCATGAGAGGGACAGGAATAAGGGGTTGGGAGGGGACAGCGTCTGCACTGCCTGCCAGAGAAGGTGGGAGAGCAGCCGGGGAAGGACTGAGGGAGCAGTCTGCACTCACTTTTTGCAGCCCTGCCACCTGTTAGCCTCCTCTCCTTCCCTGCCCACTGTAGCCTCCCTGCCCATTTAGCCCACTGTATGAAGGACAGGGTGGAATTATTTTTCCTCACTGGTGAACTGATATGAGTGTACAGTGCGCACCACATAGAACTGGTCACACAGGTTCAATAATATCCAAACCAGCCATAGTGGACTAAATGGTATACCCAAAGATGTGTCCAAATGATGTTACCTTATTTGGAAAAGAGTCTTTGCAGATATAATTAAGATGAGGGTTTTGAGATGAGATCAACTTGGATTACCCAGGTGGGCCTAAATGCCATCACACATGTTCTTACAAGAGAGAGGACACACACATTCCCATGCTCACACTCACACTGCTGTGACGTGGAGGAGTGATATGGCCTCAAGCCAAGAAATGTCACTAGAAGCTAGAAAAGGCAAGGAACAGGTTCTCCCCAGAGCCTCTGAAGGGAGTGTGGCCATGCCAACTCCTTGATTTGGAGTTCCTGGTCCCTAGAACTATGAGAGACAGGTGTATTGTTTTACACCACCCAGTTCGAGGTCATTTATTACAGCAGGTGCAGGGAACTCATATACCAGTCTGTGCTCCATTTAGTAAGACAGGTCTGCTGATCGTGTGCTTGGCTGTGTAGCAATATCTTGTGCTATAAAAGCTTTGAAAGCTCTCAATTTCTGTGCTTGTTGTCCACCAGCAGCAGAGTTGGTAGATGTCACGTTTGCAGACCATGCTTTGATTCCCTCTGGTTTCCCTGCCTTGTCTTGTGAATGAGGGGACCGAGGCGCAGAGAGGCAGCTGTAGGGCTGAGATTAGAGCACAGGTGCTTCTGCTGCTTGGAATGGACAGGCAGAATGTGGTGTCAGCCTTCTGGGGTCTGGGTGCGGGGTGGGCAGACAGGAGAGCTGTCGTTCAGCCTGCTTTGTGGGCCAGCTGGTTTCCTCGTCACTGTCCTGTGCCCTGCTGAGAGAAAGCTGATGCTCCAGTGAGCCCCTGGAGCACCAAGCTGCGTAGAAGGCCCAGGAACCAGGGAAACTTGCGAAGTCTTTGCTGCAGCTAATGAGCCAACGGCAGCAGGCAAAGGGCTCTTATCAAGGGTAAAGGTCACTGCTTGCTATCAACTTAATTTTCATCCAGCTGCTTCAGTCTTTGTGATTTGGGTGTTATTTTCTGTCTGCAGCCCAATTTTAACTTTCTACATTTTCTGAATGGTAATTATCTCTTAGAGAACATGGGATTAGACTACAGTTATTTTTACTCTTATGCTGGTTGAATAAGTCCATCCAATTTAACTTGGTATTCAGGGCTCTCTGAAAGGTATTCTCCTTTCCAGCATTGCTCCCACCCCTCCCTTTCACACACCTTAACATCTGAATTTTACTCAAATCATGACTCCCTAGGAGAGGGGACTAGGAGAGGTTAGATTCTTGAAGCCCTGTAGTAGGTCAGTTCATGGTTGACCTACTACATGTAAACAGTACCGATGTAAACACATGGCAAAGAGATAGTGGGCACAGATCTTTGAAGATCTCAGGAAAGAAACGTTCACATTTACTAAAATACACAAACAGCTAGTACCAGACATTAGCCTCTGGTCTACCATCCAGCTCAGTTGAACCACCAGGTGGCCGTAGCTAGGCGAGACCAAGAGAAAAACCAACCGGCTGAGCCCAGCACTAATTGCTGGCCCACTAAACCGTGAGCAAATAAAATGTTCATTGTTTAAGACAAAAAAGAAAAAAGGCAGCACAATAAATGAAGACTTTGAGTTATTACACTTATTTTAATAACAATAGGCATTGTATAGTTAGTTACTCAATTATTCCTTGCTTGCTATGGGCACTTTCTGCTCTCTAACCTTTGTATTTTTGATTCTTATTTATTTGTTTTGTTATGGTTAATGCCCATATTAGGAGCCCCTTTTCTGCAGTATCTGGGCATCCCTTTTAATATTTAATACTGCTGGGATTTTATGAATTTCTTATTGGGTCTGTTCTCCGGGTCTTACGCATCTCTCTTCTTTTTCTCTCATATTATGGGACAGTAGTTCAGCGGGCTAGGTCACTTTCTCATCTGTTATTTTTTCCAAGGCTTTGTTTCAAAAGCCTCTTTCTTCACCCTCTACTTTTGTTTCTTTTTCTAGTCCCAGCCTAGATATCTTACTCTTCAATCGGGGATTTTTTGGTTGCTGGAACAGAAATGCCCTCATGCCCGCTTAAGTTAATAGAGGGTTTGTCGTAGGAACCTCAGGAATTGCAGGGAGGAAAACCGCCTGCTGGGAGCTGGAGCAGGAAGGCCCTTCTAAGCCAGGGCTTGTGGTCCTGCTGATCTCCTGTCTGTGTGTGCGTGTGTTTCTCTGGATCAGGACTCAGGACTGCCTTCCTATGTTTACAAGTGAGGGAAGCGGGGAGGAGGGCAGTGTGGCCGGTGGTGATAAGTGTCAATCCCCAAGCCAGTCGGTTGGGGGAGAAGAGCCTTGTGACTACCCTCTAGGCATGGACTTGGTGGGGGGATGTCCCAGAAAAGGAGTGTGGAGGGGTAGCCCCCCAAAGCTATTAATCTACCTCTTCTGATTTCTCAACAGGAATAACTCAGGTCACCTCTACTAGAAATTGGTTTGCTGAAACTATTGAAACAGCAATTCTTAAGTTGAAGAAAAGGTAAGTAGGAGTAAAGTTGCATCTATTAAAGTTCTCTCGCAAGGGAAACCGATGTGTAGGGAGGGATTACTGTCTCTGTCTTTCCTCAGACCTGTCTAGTTCTATTTGGGAAATTGTACCTGCCCCACCCCCTATTTGGCCACGTTCCTCTTTATGCCTCAGGGCCTTCCTCAAATGCTGCCTCCCTGGAAATGAAGCCTTTTGATTCTCTCCTGCTGGCAGTGATTTCTCCTGCTTTTGAAACCCCATAATATTGTCTCCTTCTCACTGACTTGTATTGTAATGGGCTTCACAGTTTCATTTATGCCCCTCTCACTACTCTGCTCCCATGGCTGTATTGAGTGGGCTCCTTCTCTGTGGCCTTCCCATCATCGCATTTCCACACTGGATGATGGTTGTGTGTTTGTGTGTTTTCCCAGTAAGCTCCTCAAGAGTGCCCCTGAGTTGTTCCTGGGACATTGTAGGCGCTCCATAAACATTTACTGAAGAAATAGTGAGCCAGCCTCCCCGCTAGACTGTTGGCTCCTGCGTGGGTTCCCTCCGTGCCTCCACCAGCCTCCTCACTCTCAAGTTGGTTCTCTTCTTTGAGCATCCATCCGAAATGGATGATCTTCTCTAGTTGTCCTTTGTGTTTTGACTGTTGGTGAAATGAAGCTAATAGCAAAGCTTTTGTATCCGATTTTCCTTTTTCATGGGCAGTTGGGCCCATGTGAAAAGCAATAATCCAGACGCTGGAAGGGAAGGGAGGTGACAGGCAGGCCAGGAAACCAGTGACCACAAGAGCATGGCTCCCAGACTGCCTCCACCTCCCTGGGGCTGGTGTCAGTGGGGCTCGCTCGAGGGCGGCCTTTGATGGTGCTCTGGCTGTGGCCCTGCTGGCTGCCGGCATCCATCTGTTTGATCATCCAGGCTTCCAGTTTGCTTCAATCAGTGGACAATTGCATTTTTTTTAAGTCCTCACCCAAGAGTATGTTTATTGATTTTAGAGAGAGAGAAAGGGAGACTGGAGGGAGGGAGAGAGAGAGGAAGTGAAAGACAGAAAGAAACATTGATCAGTTGCCTCCCGTGGACACCCCAACCAGGGATCAAACCTGCAACCTAGGTATGTGCCCTGGGAATTGAACTTACGACCTTTTGTTATATGGTTCGATGCTCCAAACAACTGAGCCACCCAGCCAGGGCTGGACAGTTGCATTTTAGCCCACTTCCTTGCTCCAGACCTTTTTGTTTAGATAAATGAGTCAGGAGTTTCCTTTTTTCAAACTGCTTACTGCATTTGTTAAGTATCCCAAAGACATTCCTTACTAATTCCACCAGTTCTCTTGGCCACCAGCCTCTTAGAGGACTTGCCCCAGCCTCTACTACCTAACAGTAACCCGCAGTCGTCTCTTGCAGCTGTAGAGCTGTTCCCGTTTCACAGGGCACATATACACGTATCACCAGATTTTCTTCTCCCACCAAGCCTAGCAAACAGGCAGGGGCAAATGATAACGTCTCACTTTCACTCAGGAAACAGGCTTGGCAGCTGGGGGTCCTGCATGAGGTCATGTCGTCAGTGTGAATAGAAGTGGGTTTTCTCTCCCCTGCACCATCTTGGTCCTTCTCCTTGGAAGCCACTGCTGCTGTCACAAAGCCTTGGTACTCTGTCTCTCACCTGTCTCTTATCCACCCCCAGTGTTCCTTATAGGGAGGGCAGCCTTGATCTTCTGTTGGGAGATGCAGTCTGACCATGGTGTTTTCCCCCACCCCAGATAGGCTGCTTTCTTGAAAAAGCAGATATTTGTAGATATCTTCCTCCCAAGATCTTACAGTCAGTCTTGTCTTATTTTCGTTAGGGCTTATTTAAATGCAGGAAATTTAATTAATTTACACCAATGCTGCCCTGTCTTACTCTATGAGTAAACTGGAAGACACTAATAGGGGTTTGATCAGCTTAATCTCACTGTATCTAATGATGTTCTTTCCCCCCCTTCTCCTTTAATAATTGCAAATGGTTCTATCAATCAAGGCGGCAGAGCACAGTGCTTTATTGCCATGTGTAATTGTTTCATTAAATGTGATTTTTAAAAAATGGCTCAACTTTTAATTAGAAAGCAGATTGGCAAATGACATTTTGATTTGTCCTTTGATGGGGGAATTGGAAAATAGACTCATCATGATAGGAAACCAAGTTCAGTACAGAAGGAGGCGTATTAACTTAAGTAAGAGCAGGATGTGATTTCAATGTGATTTCATTGTTTTCCTAAAATAGGCCATCTTCTCTGGTTTTTTTGTTGAGAGGGAGACCTCCCTCTGAGTCTGATGCCACCTTAGATTAACATTTCTGTAGGGGAGACTCAAACTTGGAACCCCCCCGAAACAGGTGTACCTGTCAGGGTGCAGGGCTAGATACCAAGAGCCTTCGACTGGCACTCCTTGAAAACATCAGTGTCAAGAAATCAGCAAACCTTTTATGATGCTTGTAATTGAAGAAAATAGGCTACATTTTTTACTTCCCATGGTGTTGTGATGCAAATACCATTTTACTATTAGAAGTTACTGTTTTCTTAGCTCCATGGCTGGTATTTGTGTCACTACTGAAGGTCATGAGAGCAGCAGCCTACATGTGTGCTGGCCGGGTTTGGCCCTGTAAGCTCCCCGTGCGCACCCCACCTTGGCTGGCACGGAGGTGGGCATTGGAGCACCCTGAGAGGAGGTCAGGAAGGGTCACCAGCGAGAGTGGCCCCAACCATCCAACACTCCACATGTCACCTCTGTACTTTGTAGCACTTTTATACCCGTTATAGCAGGTAGCAAACTTGAATATTTCATGGGCTCCTCAAGCTTAATGAGTCCAAATATTAACTCTTGGTCTCCTCCTACCGTAGCCCCTTTCCAGCTCTCCCCTCCCTCCATCTCACTAAGGTGCACAGCTATTAAATTACATTTTCAAGCCAGAAACTGGGGAGTCACTCACCTTTTTCTCCTTCCAAATCACCAGGTCTTAACAATGCTTCTTAAATTCATCTGACCTCCACGTCTACCTCCCAAGTCCAATAACACTCTCATTTGCCTTGGTTACTGCAAAAGCCTTTGAATGGACTGCCCTGCCTCTACTTTTCCCTCCATTCTTTCATCACTTTGGACCCAGAGAGATCTTTAAAAACATGTGTCATATCTTTTCACTCCCTTTGTTAAACCTGTTAATGACCACCTCCTGCACTTGGATGAATCCCATATTCCACCATGGCCCATGGAGAGACTGCACCATCTGGGCCCTGAACCCGGAAGAGATCCCACAGCATCGTTGACATCACATTAAAGTGGCTTATAGGGCAGCTCTGCCTTGTACTGTTGACTTCCTTGGCAGATTGTGATGGCTTTGATTTTCCAAGTGCAGTAAAATAACTGTCCGGCTCACAAAGGCATACGTAGAATGGATATTGTGTTCTGGGAAGTGGTACAGGGAGTGATTTCTTCTCCAAACCCCAGAATATCAGCTCTTACAACACAGAGGTGGGCCGCTATTCATTTGGAACATGAAATAGTAAAAACCAGTATGTAACCAACTAAAATTATATTACACTGCTTTCCAGTAGCCCCCCCACCAAATATTGTGACGTAAAAATGTGTGCAACGTTTTAGCTTAGGAAATCAAGAATGAAATTTGGTTCTAGGCTGGTAGAAGATTGACTTTCTACAGGAGAAAAAAGAAACACATTAAATATTGGTACACAGCTTTCCTTTTTAAACACATATATCCTATCCTGAAACCTACTTGTTTTTCTTACCCTTGAACTCTACTTTTGTGTGTGTGTTTGTGGAACCATGTATACACAAAACACACCTGAAACAAATTCTGTCTTAGTTGAGTGATACTCTCTATTCTCCGTCCCATCATTCAAGGTAATGAATGGGAATACTGAAATTTCAGCTTTATTTTTGGTGCACTGTAGCTTCAAATTAAGACAACTTTTCTATGATCTTGAGTTTGAAGTTTTTCATGGTACCGGTGTGGTGGGTCGCTCTGATGAGCTACCAGCAAAGATTGTGGTGGGAATACCAGGCAAGGTGATCTTAATGCAGCATGATGCACATGGAGTTGGTTTCCAGGTGTCATGGGGCACAGGGATGAGCCCTCACTCACTTGGGGGACTGGAAAGTCACGGAATGCTCTCAAGGGTGTTTGAGTCAGCTCTTGAAAGAAGAGTTTGTTTGCCAAGTAGAAGGAGTGACTGGGACAAAGAGGTAGAAAAAGACATTTCAGGCAGCAGCATGGACAGAGGCCCGGGAGGTCAGCAGGAGCGTGGCTCGCCCAGATTACTGCAGGGGTGTTGCTGTGGCCCTGCCGTGTAGGCCAGGGGTGGGGCGGGGCGGGGCGGGGCGGGGCGGGGCGGGGGCTGACAGGCGGGCTGGGGCCCTGTCGTGCAGTGGAACGCCCCTCTGGAATTTCACCCTGGGTAGTCGCTGGGTCAGATTTGTCTTTTACAGCAGGGTTTAGGCTTAGTCTCTACTTCAAAGACTTCTCCAGAATGGCAGGAGAATAGTGACCCCTTTCAGACACAAAAGTGCTTTTATCAATTTCTATAGGTGTGGGACTCAAAATTCCACAGACTTCCAGGTTGAAGGTCTGACTACAAGCCACCTACCAGTAATCACAAAGACATTATTAAAAGTTCCTGAAATGTGACTGGTGTTAACTTTTTGCCCTGCTGGAGTTTATGGACAACTCTATTTCATATTTCTGTGGGAGTTCACCTACTTTGCCATGCTCAGTAGTGGTGCCTTTCAGGCGCCTGTGGAGCACAGACTTACACAGGCCATCAGAGTTCCTCTAGATCTTGGAAATGACGCTCTAATGCAATCTTGAATTTGTGACAATTTTTCATTGCTAGGAGTCTAGACATTTAATTATCAGTAACTAACTGTTAGCTTGGCTTTCTAATTGTTAGTTTAGCATGATTTCGTTGGTTGGTAACCTTGAAGTGTGAGGGGATGCATATTTACAGCAGGAATGTGTT